CTCATTTGTCCTAACCTTGATGGACAAAGGTACCAGTGTTGTTGGTGGGAGGTGATAGGTATCCATGGAATTAGTCAAGGTACATGAAAGCTGCCCCTGACACCACGGTTATAAAAAAATAAAAGTAAAAGAGAGAGAACTTTGGACTATTGTTATAAAAGTTATCTTCGTCGTGACGCTATCTTTAAACAGGTTGAAGGATTATTAACAGATCAATTCTAGTAGGGATAACTGAGTCATTGTCTTATTTATCTGGCTTCCACATTCCTATATTTAGTGATTAGTTAGTACTTTCAAACTCATGGTAATTGCAGGTTTTATGTGACTGAAATCTTCCTTGCACTGGAGTATTTGCATGTGCTTGGAGTTGTATATCGGGATTTGAAACCCGAAAACATACAGATTTGGAGTTTAGGGTTTGTGCTTTGTTATTACCTTTTTGTCCTTTACTTTTAGGTTGTTAACATATTGAAATTACTAGTTTTGGTTGCGTGTGTTGCACGTATATTTCTATTAGTTTGTGTCAAAATCTTATATACAATTTCAACTGATATGTTAGACAATAAAAATAAATATTAAAGTATATCGAAAAATACAAGTTTCTAAGGATAATGAATATTAATCTTATATTTTAATGTTGTTACACTTACATTCAAAATTGATTTAATATTTGTAAAGTTAAAATATAACTTAAGGTAGTTTTGACACTAGTAAACATGCATACATGTTTCTCTATGATGTAAAAGAATACAATATTTCTTTAAAATGTTTTTATAGAACATTCCACACAATTTCTATACTAGATTTGAGATATATTTGTCTACCTATAATAATTTACACATTTGTCTACCTGAAAAAGATAATGCAAAAGAAAAAAAAAACTCTTAATTATATTGTGCTTAAATGCAAACCAATTGCATTAGTATTATATGTGGTATTAAGTAGTCATTTGACCTTTTCTCTTAGAGATATTGCTAGTGGAATTTACTTCAACATTTATGGTGTGAGGATTTTATTAAGTCATTAAGGCAGTAAATATTTATAAAAATGGTGAAAAAAAATGTAAATGTATGATATTATGATTGATTATAATGTAACTTTTCATTTAAGGTCTTTCCACTTGTAATATGATACATGTTTTATTATTTAATGATTAATTAAATGATTTATAATATTATAATTTAGTGTAGGGGCAAAATTGGAATCCAATTTTGAATTTTAAAGCTTCCTACTTTGGGCACGTGCGTTGCACGTGTACTCCATAACGATGAATATGAATTATTAAAAATCACATATTTTCTTTTAAAATTGTGTTTGAGTTACAACAAAAATATGAAAAGTAAAATGATAAATGTTTATAGTGTATAGTTAACTCATAAGAAGAAACTCTTTTGTATTTAGTCATCCCCTTATTATAATTTCGATATATAAATTTTATATTTGCTTTAAAAGACAAAATAAAGTAGCAAAAACAAACATAGAGGCACACTACCTTATGATTAACTTCCTTAAAATGTCTCTCTTGAAATTAAATTAATAGTTATACATTTCAGGAAGATAAAATGTTTTAACATTAATTAGTAGAAGATGAAACTCTCCTTCTCATTAAGTAGAATACAATTAAGTAATTCAAATTATGACTAAGGAAACTTAATTAGAAGGAAATAATTAAAGTGCAACAGAGATGACAAATTTGTATTTGGTAGTGGTATATATTGATTTAGCTACAACTCTTCATATTCTTTAATTTAAGATTAAAAGAGGGAAAGACTTGATTCATGTACTTATTTAAAATTCTAAAAATCCTAATTGACTCTTGTTCTTCCACATTTCCTTTCTAATAAATAACTTACAAGTCAAAAAATAATTAAAATAATATTATTTAATTAATTAGAAAAAAAGGGGAAAACCTTGATTCATGTACTTATTTAAAATTCTAGAAATCCTAATTGGCTTTTGTTCTTCCACATTCCCTTTCTAATAAATAACTTACAAATAAAAAAATAATTAAAATAATATTATTTAATTAATTAGATGTTTAATTTAGTTTAGGGGTAAAATGGTAATCCAACTTTTCATCTTTGGAGCTTCCCACTTTTAGTAAGAATAGTCCATGCGAAAGATATGAATTACTGTCAAAATCACATTTTAATCCGTATCACAAGCTAGTAAAAAATATATAATTTAAAATAGGTGAATTCAAATAACTTCTTTATTGTATGTCAAATTGATTAGACATTTGATGAACCTGCAAAATTTAGTTTGGTAACTAAAATAATGAGTTACATTTTTAAGTTATTAGGTTCAAACATATGATATATTAGTATGTGCAAAAATGAATAACAAAAATGATTAATGTTTCTCATTTAAATGCACAATAAGAAAATTTCTATGTATACCTTAAATTGATATCTATACAAGTCCAACATTCATACAATTCTAAATGCTTCATGGAAGAAAAATTCTATAATGGAGAAAGAAAGCAAGAACGAAAAGTTGAGGATATTGCAAAGAAAGTCCTCATGCTATGAAAAGAAAACTTTGTTATTGTTAGAGACAACATATCAACATATCAACATAAGATTGTTCACTGTTTAATACTACAAATGTATTAAATTTTCTCTCTTTTTTTTCGCTACTATTTTTTCTTCTTGATTACCAATTTTCAGCATTTTTTTGGTTATCTTCACTTGCAACTTCTAACTCTCTTATCTTCTTATGTTGAATTGTGCAATTTTCCTAATTCGATTTCCTATTGTGAGCTTCCATCTTTGTAAGTTGGTTCTTAAATAGCATTAAGAAATGACCCTTTAAACTCAAATTTTAATTCTAAAATTGATTTCTACATTAAAGTGATGAATGACTTTCCATATCATAACTTTTCAAATTCTTCCATTATGAGATTTATGATTACGATTAAAAGCAATATCAATGTACTCATTTATCAAGAAAGTGATAATTTAATTATTTAAAGGCTTAAGAATTTCAAATTCTACCATTATGTAATTAAAATATTTATATTTAATCAAATTTTTAATTTAGTAGAGAGGCAAAATGGTAATTCAACTTTTCACTTTGGAGCTTCCACCACAAACCAGAATTACCTTTTAATTTATTTATTTCCAAAACTAGTTTTCCCCTTTCATAAAAAGTTGTGACTTTTATGAAAAGTTGTGACTTTTATGAAAAGTTGTGACTTTAATGAAGAGTTGCGACTTTTATGAAAAATTGTGACTTTAATGAAGAGTTGCGACTTTTATGAAAAGTTGTTGCGGCTTTTATGAAAAGTTGTGACTTTTATGAAAGGTTGTGACCTTTCCGAAGGGTTGCAACTTTTCCAAATAGTTTTAACCTTTCTAATAAGGCACAATAAACATTTGTTCACACTATCCTTTGTTGTCTATAAATAGAGGGATTTCCTCTCATTTTAAAACAACGAAAATTCTGAACCTCCTCCTCTTCTTCTTCACAATTAAATATTTGTGTACTTTGCTTCTATTGAGTGAGTCACTGACACCGTTGCTTATATTGCAGATCATGGTATGTATTTTTACAGTCATTAATTTATGATTATGTTATTAAGGATAAATGATAAGATGTAATAATTTTAATTTTCCTTTACATTATTAATGTTTGTTACTACGTAATCTTGTATGTAAGATAATATAGTGTTTAAGTTTTAATGACTGATAGGTTTTAAGTATTATTTCATAAATTCCGTGAAGTTAAATTCCCGCGCGAAGCGCGGATAATTTTACTAATAATATATGATATGTGATAAATTACTTGAATTTAAAATTTAATTTCTTTGAATTGTAAGACTAAAGCAGATATAAATATTTCGAGTATTCGAATATTAAAAAAAAAAAAAAAAATCAATTTATAAAGATTTATGTAGGCCAATTTTTTATAAGTATCAATAATTCGAATATCAATTTTTTAATAGAATTTTATTGGTTTATATTGAAATACTTTCTTTCTAATAATAATTATGTAAAGATATTGTATCCTTTGTAATTACATCTGTAAAAATAGTATTAAATATATACTTAAGTGAGCATTACAAAAAGGGTGAAAGAACAAAGAGAAACACGAATTTTCTTGACTTTTGTTCTTTATCCCTCTTTCGTTAAAGAGAAACACGAATTTTCTTGACTTTTGTTCTTTATCCCTCTTTCGTTAAAGAGAAACACGAATTTTCTTGACTTTTGTTCTTTATCCCTCTTTCGTTAAAGAGAAACACGAATTTTCTTGACTCAAATTTAGCTCAAAACGCTTAGACATTTCATTAAGGTTTTCAGCAACAATTTCAATTGCTATTAAAGATAATTGGCAGCAACAATTTCTTATGCAATTTCTTTTAATTACTATATATGTAAGTTGTTGTGAATGAATATCCAGATATACTTTTACAAATTAAATTACACGACAGTTTTATATCAGTTAAAGTTCTTTAAGATCTTCTGTTATTTTAATTACTTGTAAGTAGTCTGTCATTTAAAGTTTACCATGAATTTTATATAAAGTTTTTATTGAACTATACGTACAAATTAGTTATTTGAACTTTTGTTTTTAGCTTTCTTCTTATTATGTTATTTCACATTGTTTAAAATTTAATTGTAGATTTGGTTTAGTTTTCAAAATTAAGGATAGACTTGTGTAGTTATAGTTTGTATTATCTTTTTGAACAAAATATATTTTTAGATTACTACAAGTTTATACATACCTTTTACCATAGCGCGAAATGGGAACAGGTTTACTAGTTATGGATATAGGCATATAGCACAAAACAACAAAATTAGATCTTTTCAATCATCGTAACGGTATCCGCCAAGATTTAGCTAAATTAGCTAAATCGACACAAGTCAGGCTGAGCACCTCCACCATCCACCGGTAGGTTGAAGGCTCAAATACTATTGATCCTCTTGAAAGAGATAAAAAGGTTAAATAAATCATTTTTCATGGGAAATAAAGTGGTAATTGCATAGATGGATGTTATGTAACTTTGATTCTTGTGATGTAGATGAAAAATTCCCATGTTCTCAGCATTTTATATCACATAATTACAAGGAGTGGATGCAGAGGGTACATCCTAACCAGAGTGGTATAGAGATTTACTAGAACAACTCAAATTCTGAATGCTCTTTTGAACTATACTCTAAAAACATGTTGCTCTTCTCCTTATAAGCTAGTTTTGTAAATCCAATGTCACAAAGATCAGGTACTTCAGGTGGAATGGCACACCTTATCAATGCCCAGTTCATACCATCGAAGAAGGGGTGTCGTTTAATCTCAGCAGCCCCTGTTTCTGTTCCCAATCGATTCTCAGGCTCCTTCACAAGAAGTCTTCTGATTAGATCCCTTGCCTGAAGACTGACAAGCGGGCTATCGGGAAATCTGAGGTTCTGCATGACCACATTGGCCAAAGTTTCTTCATTTCCAGAACCTTTAAATGGTGTCTTCCCATATAGAAGCTCGTAAAGAAAAACACCTAAAGTCCACCAATCAACAGCACTCCCATGGCCCTCACCTTTAATGATCTCGGGAGCCAAATATTCATGTGTACCAACAAATGAGTTGGACCGTGCTTCTGTTGGCTCTACCACAAGCTGAGGCAATGATCTGTTAAAGGCTGCAGCTTCTGCTTTCAGCCTTCTTGCTCGTGCGGTGGCAGGTAAAATTCTGGGGCTAAAGCAAGAAACTTGACAGGACGGTCCAGAACAAAATGGATCAATACAATTAGAGCCCGCGCATGGACCAGAAATCCTGGGAGCTTCAACCCCCAATGAAGATGATTTTAGAAGAGTGGCATTAACTGAACATCTGAGTGAGAGGTCAAAATCTGTAAGCATGATGTGACCATCTTCCCGGACCAGTATGTTTTCGGGTTTCAAATCCCGATATACAACTCCAAGCATATGCAGATACTCCAGAGCAAGGAGGACTTCAGCCACATAAAACCTGCAATTACCATGAGTTAGAAAGTACTCACTAATCACTAAATATAGGAATGTGGAAGCCAGATAAATAAGACAATGACTCGGTTATCCCTACTAGAACTGATGCTGTCAAAAATCCTTCAACCCTGTTTAAAGATAGCGAGGATAGCGTCATGACGAAGACAATTTTTATAACAATAGTTCAAAGTTCTCTCTCTTTTTCTTTTATTTTTTTATAACCGTGGTGTCGGGGCCAACTTTCATACACCTCGACTAATTCCATGGATGCCTACCACCTCCCACCAACACCAGTACCTTTGTCCACCAAGGTTAGGACAAATAAGAAGATATCACACAATTATTTTAGTCTCTGCTGGGATTGAACTAGAGACCTCATGGTTCTCAACCCACGCCATTGACCACCAGGCCCATGTCAAATTAATATAGCCTCACCACAAAGTTATTAGATCTAACTTATGCAAAATTTAGATTTTATATTTTGGCACAGCAACACTAGATTAAACAATTAACTGTGTTCCCACAACAGATAAACTAATTATCCACATCTAAGACAACCACAAAACATTTTCCAATCAAATGAACTCTCAATCTTCAGTTCTTCCTTTTTGATCTTTTTTCTTATTTTGGAGGAAATGCAGAATTCAATTTCTACCTTATCCCTTTCTCCTTTTTTGGTTTGGGGTTGAGTTGAGTTAGGAGGAACAGAGGAAGACATATCTAACCAAAGAAGCGAGCCAGCAAATTAAAGAATTTGCCTTGTCAATAAGCCTCAAGACATTGTAAGGCTAAAACCAATTAAGTTTTCTTTTTTAAGGTAAATAATTATATTCCTGTTGGAGAAATCCCCATATAGAAGTAGTATACCAAAAAGTAGAGAAACCTAGACCAAAAGATGATTATCTACAAAATGTCATCCAAACGTGTGTGCGACCAAGGAGCTCATGGGTGCACAAAAAGAAACTAGAGACATGAGGGTACTCCTCGAATGTAGAAAATCATTGTTAACCTTTCAAAAGCTCTCCTATTCCGGTCCCTCCATAATAATACTTATATGAGAGCTAGTGGGGTACATCCCATGCCCTGGGTCTTCTTTTCTTCTGAAGCTCAGTTATTCAGTGCCTCTGTTGTACTCAGCAATCAGCATGACCCACTGTATTCTAAAGCAATTCAAAACCTCCCACCACATCAAGCTACTTGACAACATAATAATAGGCGGCGCATACTAGACCACTTAAGCTTATGGTGGTGGGTATACTAGATTTAATGTCTTAAGTTAACAAACTTATTAACAAGTCTGCGTCAAACTCTATATCAAAGCCACGACAAAGGTGGCATTCTTCTCCTCTTCATTCCTTTTTTTGGGGTGGGTGGGGAGATGGGTTACTAAAATTTAATGGGTCTAAACATTAGATCAATCAAGTGGTGTTGGTTTAGATTAGCTCTTTGTAAATAGAAATAGAAAAAATCACCAATGTATAGACAAAATCCATTTATTCCAGTAACAATTTCAGACTAGTTTATACATTCTACCACCCCCGAACACAAATCAAAAGAGAACAGAGATGCATTATGTTTATGCTGAAATGCAGATTTTTCCTACCAAAGCTTCATTGTTGTAATTTTGAGTATAATTTATTAAATTGGAGTATATCATACCGTGCTGCTGGTTCAGGAAAATTTCTGCAAGGCTGCTTCTGCCTGAGGACATGCAAATCACCACCTGGACAAAACTCCATAACTAAGCATGATAAGTTGTCCGATGTAAACTGCGCATAGAGCGTAGGTAGAAAAGGGTGATCTAGCATTCTCAAAATCTCTCTTTCAGTTTGGGCCCTTGGCAACTTTTTCCTTCTTGCCAAAAATTCATTATCCATAACTTTTATTGCAAAGAAGCAATTAGTTTCCAGCAGCTCAGCAAGATACACTGTGCCAATGTCTCCACAACCAAGCTTCTTCAATAAATTGAAATGATTTAACCCCAAGAACCCGTGATGTTTCCTCACCTGATTGATAGCCTCCCACCTGCCGTCTTTAGACATGTGTGGCCTATTCCCAGTACTAGACCCACTTAGATTGCTCTCGTCACTGATGGTTGTGCTACAACTGTAATCACCAATACTACTCTTTGAGCTCTGTGAAAAGTCCCCTGGCTCTCTAGATTTTGATGCCTTGTTGAATTTCAAGACAGGGGTAACCCTGTCATCATGGCAGTTATTGGCGAAGCCTGGTTTAGTAGCATGACAGTTATTGCTATTTTCACTTGCTTCAGCGGCTGTACATCCAGAACCTTGAATTGTAGGTCCCTTACCAGACTCATTTCCTACATTCTTGAGAGCACACTGACATTGCTGACAGATAAGTTGCTTAGGTGATTCCATTGGACCATTTACTTCATAGGTCAGATTAAAAGTGCCGGATGTTGCTGTTGCTTCTGGTTTCGCTTTCTTCTTGACAAGGGTCTTGTGCTTGACTGCTGGCTTTGCAGTCTGAGTGGTGTTTTTGTTTGATTTGCTCTCCTTGTTGCTTCTCGTGGCAGTAGATGAAGAGACATTTTGCAATATGGCTTTCCGTCTCAGCTTAGGAGCTTTTTTGTTTGCTATTCTAAATGATGCAACCGCACTTCTATTGGAATTATGCTGCAAATTTTTTGGTCCAGACCCCAAAACATCATTATTAGAGGTAAATGATGATGAGGATGCAACTGAAGTTTGGACTTCTTCCTCAATTGACACAGTTCGTAGTGATTTAATCTCATGAAGATTCGACACAGATGCATTCTCCTTTTTCAGGTGAGGGGAGTTAAAACTCTGAATAATTGGTACTTCAACCGATCTAGGAGAAGACAGGACACTTTGGTCTGGTAACTTCATCTTGGGTTCTTCGGGGTATCGAGGCATCTTTTGTGAAGTGCTTGATGTGCTTACTGCTGGCATTGTCCTCTCTTTTCGCCGCACAGTTGACTCAGCAGACACAATAACTGGCTTATCAACAAGTCTAGGCGAACGTGAAGTGTTTTGGTTTGGTAACCTCACCTTTGCTTGTGTAAGCTGTTGAGAGACCTTTTTACCATAGTTCGGGACATTTTCTTCCAGAAATATTCTCTCATTTTGCTTGGCAACGGACTCCGCACTCTTAATAGTCTGTTTACTAACACATTTAGGAGAACAAAGGGTACTTTGACCTCGTGACTGTAGCTTTGGATCTCCAATGTACTGAGGCGGCCTCTGAGAAGAGTTAGACGTGCTTTCTGCCGGCACTATTCTGTTATTTTGGCGCATTGAGATGGATGGCTTAATGACAAGTCGTGGAGAAGAATGGGGACTATGGTTTGCTGATTTAACATACAGTTCTTGGCGGTAATGGGGCACTTTGTCGAGTGTTCCTGAAGTGCTTTCATCTTGTACTAGTCTCTCTGTGTGAATGAAACCAGATTCGCTTGGATCTGCAAACCTGTAAGAGCTTGTAATCCTTCCAGCTTCTGTAATGCTTGGAGAACCCGGTGGCTTGGATAGCCGCTTCATTGCCGCCATTTCTGCCGCCTGTGAAATGCATAAACCCCGTAAGGCCTGCTTCAGAGAGACTGGCTCTGAAAACCCAATTCCTGGAGAATGAGATCCACCGCCCCTCATCGGCCTTTTTGAGGCATCTCTTCTCACATGATCTGACAAATCCAGACTTTTTGATGATCTTAGATCGATGGATGCAAAAAGATGATTAATATCATCTTCTAAGAATTTATTAGGTCCTTTTCTAACCAAAGGAGGCTTCTGTTTTCTGCCTGATTCTCGTACTTGTCCTGACCTTTCAGAACGTTGGAACATCACCAGCTCATCTTTCACCTCAATAATTTCACAACTACCAGAATATGAACCCATCACTTAGAACTGGTCGGACAAATCACCAGACACTCAGCAATCAGCAATCAGAAGGTAAAATGATTAATTTTGGAGGTCTAAATACAACCATCATTCAACTGACAACCACCTTTACAACCATACATGAGCTTCATAGGTCACATATAATCCAAATTTCTAATTTGAACCCAATCATGTTGCTATCTACCATTCAACCTGTAATGACAATTAAATGCTATTATGAAATAAGTAAAGTACCAACTACTGTGTATTCCTTAAAACATCAGAATCATTGTCACATAAAATGCTTGGAATAAATACACATAAGAGGTACAAAGCATGAGGATAAGAAGATGGATGACTATCAAGCATTTCATTTAGGGAACAAAATTATAGAAACTCGGATATAATTACTCAGGAATATCTCTAAAGAACCCAAGTTGCTAAGATCTCAGTAACTATTGGCCAAAATTTTGAGACCAAAGATTCCACATAGATCCATTTATGGTGCTGTGAAATCTTTTTCACAATCCCAGATCTCCTTTCATTGTCACATTCCTCTCAAAAGCAGGGTCAGGGTCAGGAACGACGAATCTCTTTATGATAAACAGATCTACAGAAATGTACTGTCGTTAAATACTTGCAGAGTATTATATTTCTCAATGAACTCTTAGGCAGTGTTAACACCCTATTGCTTAATCAATTGTTAAAAATGGTCCTTAGAAGTCTAACTCAGCTATAAATATACATTCAGTTCAATGGCATAGATCCATTTCAATTGAAATACAGCAAAATGCTCAGAATAAGAACAAGATTACAACTTTCAAGAAAAACAGTTCAATATGGGATTTAGTTTTCAACTTCCACCATTTCTGCAAAGAGAAAATGGAAACAAAAACAACTTGAAACCCAAAAATGCAAACCACTCACCTAGCTGACCCCCATCCTGGAAGAAAAAGAAAGAAAATGCTAGGAAAATGAAGAGAACAACAAGAAAAACAATTAGCCAAATGAAAGTCCAAAAGAACTAAAGGCAAAAACTTTTGCAAGTACAAATTACTTTCCCATAAGGAGAACACAAAAAGGGTAAAACTTGCAAGTATCAGTACAAATCCAAAAGCACATAAAGTCACACAACAACAAAATAATGCAAGAAAAAAAGGTAGTAGCTTAGAAATCAATGCAAATTAGAAGCTTAACTCCAGAGACTAACTAAAATTGAGCAAAAGGGTGTCCAAAACTACAAACAAATAGTTCAAAGCTCAACAAAACTAGCAAATCAAGAAAATATGTAGCTTAGAAATCAATGCAAAGAAGGTTAACCTCAAAAAACCCACTAAGATTAAGCAAAAGGGTGTCCAAAACTCTGAACAAAAAGTTCAAAGCTCAACAAAACTAGCAAATCAAGAAAATGTGTAGCTTAGAAATCAATGCAAAGGAGGTTAAACTCAAATGACCCACTAAAATTAAGCAAAAGGGTGTCCAAAACTACAAACAAAAAGTTCAAAGCTCAACAAAACTAGCAAATAAAAAAAAAACATGTATAGCTTAAAAATCAATGCAAATTAGAAAATTAACTCAAGAATACCACTAATTAAGCAAAAGGGTGTCCAAAACTACTAACAACAAGTTCAAAGCTCAACAAAACTAAGCAAATCAAGAAAAATATGCAAAGAAAAAGAAGACATTACCTGCCAAAAAAGCAACTGATACAATGAAAGATCTAAAGCTCAAAACTTTCATAAATTACAGAAAAAATGGTTTCAGAATTCAGATTCTCAAAGAGTGAAAGGAGAAAGAAAAGGGGTGTATGTTATTTCGGTGGACAAAGATGTGAAGAAGGAAGAGAGAAAGGGACACACAATTTTATTTTATTTTATTTTAAATCTTTTTTTCTAATTTCATTTTCATACACTGAAAATTTTTCTTTCATTCTGTGTTTTTATTTTTTCTAACATTTATGTGGTCCTTCTAAAGAAAAAAAAAAACATGGGGTCCACTCCCTGGAGGTAGATAGTGGGTCCCATGTATGTTAGGATTCGAAAAAATTTATTTTGTATTTTTAAAAAATATTATTTGATTTTTTACAATTTTTGTTCATGTTTTATTATATTTCATTTATTTTTGGAACTAATTGCATATCGAATATAGAATATCTGATTAACAATACAAATTCAAACATAAGTACATAATATATCAGTATACTTAAGTAATATAGCGGTTAATGATTAAATTATAAGTTTGTGATATTTGATTATGCATATATAATCTTTGATATATTTGAGCTTTTTACTTGTGAATATTCACAATTTTATTATAATTACTATTTGTTCCATCACTTAATTAATGATGTGTTATATATATTAAGTTTGTATCGTTGTTTTATATTCAATAATATAATTATTTAAAAAATCAAGATGAATATTCTATGTAGTAGCCAAAAATTCTTTAGCCTTAAATCAAGATATTAAAAAAAAAAGTTTCAACTTGATATCGATCTAAAATTGAATGAAAAAGCATATCACTTATCAAAAAAAAACTACAATTAATTAAAATATTAGTGATTGAATAAAGATGTTGACATGAGAAAAGAATGTGAGAACTCAATTCTAAACATCCATAAGCATTGGAATTAAAAGTGCATATTTTAAGTAATTAATAGCGAAATATATATAATTATATATCACAACTCACGATCACATGATTAAACTTTAACTTTATCAATAATCAAGGGATCAAAATATCATTAGCCTATTGTTAAATGTACCAATCAGGCAATTAATTTTATATTTTTTTGTTTACCTAGAAGATCAGTGTATAATAAATTATTTGATTAGAGAAATATTAAACTGTTGTTCGAAATCTTATTTGGTACTCACGGCGTGCTTGATCTCTAACATTTTGCATTCAAAATAATAAATAAATACTATTTACTTTCTTAGGATGCTTTATTCCTTCAAATTTTTTATTACTTTTTTTTTTCATTTTTTTATGTCTTGTGATCCAATTTTATTATTAATAATAATAGAGAACCCCACCTCACCCCATCCCCACTCCTCTCCATACCCTTTTAATAATATTATATATTTTTTATTTCAATTTATGCAGCATATTTTCACTTTTACTTATATTGAAAAAAAACTCATTTTTTTATTAAATTTTAATTTATTTTTTCTGAATCAGATATCTATAGACATGTAAATATCTATATAACTTATATTAGAACAAAAATTTCAAATATCTCTTTTTTTTTAAAATTAATGTTCAGTCAAGTTCATTCATGTCTAATAAACTTCAAACAAAAAAAGTTTGTGTATTGGGGTTGAATGTACAAGCAGTTGAAGAATGAGAAAAGAATAAAAATAAGACGAAAGCGAAAGTTTTGATATCTTATTATCATTCCATAAATTGAAATAAAGAGAATACTATTTTTCTTAACCTAACATGACCTTTGATTGTTAGACACTACTTCAGTAACACTCTTTATTCACAAAGTAACAATTATCTAATCTTTTGTTCAAAGAATTAATTCATTCACTTTTGATGGGAAATTGGATACTTCCTTATGTAACTGCATGCAAATATCATAAGTAATATATTTTTCAATAAATTAGTACTTTACTCAAGAGGCCTAACAACAGCAACCAATTAATGGTCTTTTCAAACACTATTAATAAGATTGGAGAAAGTTTTTTTTTAATTTTTAAAAACAGCTCAATTATATATAAGTAGGTGAAGTTATTAAGAAGCTCAATTATGAATCATTATGAGATTTTAATTACATTTAAACTTTGTTGGTTCTATTGGTATATTTATAGATGTTAGTATAATTTTAGTCTTATCAATATCTCATTCAAAAAATATTATCGATCTATAAATTATGTGATTTCTATCCTTCTGATGAAGTTAGAAGTTAGAAGTTGAGAGTTAAAATTTTAAAATATATGACCCTCAAACACATTTAGGCTATTGAATTTGCAGCTTATTATATGTACATATTTTTGGTGAATTTCTCAACTTGTATTTGGATATAGCTAAAATTATGGAAATATTATTTAAATACACAACACTTCTTTACCTATTCTCAATATTTCCCTACTCTTTTACTAAAATACAAAAATCCCTTATTTTCCCCCAATTCAACTTAACCGGATACTTTATTAGTTTAAGTATCCGCCCGTTATTAATTAAAGTATCCGCGCTGCTATATTATGCATCCGCCCGTTAATTAAGTATCTGTGCTGCTAACAGCTTAATAATTTAAGTATCCACCCGTTATTAATTAAAGTATCCGCGCTGCTATATTATGCATCTGCCCGTTAATTAAGTATCTGTGCTGCTAACAACTTAATAATTTAAGTATACGCCCGTTATTAATTAAAGTATCTGCGCTGCTATATTAAGTATCCACACTGCTATATTAAGTATCCGAAAAACACTAAAAAAAGGGAGTTTTGGTAATTAATGAAAGAGTAGGGAGAGGAAGTAATTTCTTTCTTATACTATGTCATTTGCCTAATTTTTACTAAAATTATTGATTCTTCAAAACTTGTATAATAAATTACGTATTTGCCCGTTAAACAAAGTACATATGTTCGAACATTTAGTACAATACTTAACATAGATAATTGTTAGATGGAAAATGTTACCATATTAGCACTACCAAGTACTAATCTAAGTTGAGATTAATTACTTGCTAAACTATTTATGGCATGAGTGATATTATTGGTTGAATTATATGACAAACTAATTAGTATATTGTATACACTAGTCAGGATTGTGATGGACCGGATGAATTCATTGGTCTTTAATTAAAGATATTGAGTTAAATTTTTGGATATGAAAAAGATTCTAATGAATTTTTTTTTAATAGGTTTTATATGATATAGATCTGAATTAATCGTGGTTCAAGAAGATAATGACATTGGACGGGAAACTAAAAAATGACAAACTAATTAGTCATACTTCTTTATACCGTTCGTTCTATATGATAATATCTCACTACAACTACTAAGTTTTCTTTAGAATTAATTTCTCATAATATGCTATATTATATGTGCTTTATAACAATTTTTTGTTATAGTAGATCAAGCAACTATAAAAAAAAGTCTATAAATAACATTGTTATAAATAGATATGATTGTAATTCTAATACCACAGAATCACCTTCAATCATTCACCCTTAATCAAAGGATTTATTTATGAGTCTTGAGAATAGA